ATAGATTAATAAATGATCTTTATACTTACTGACTAGAAAAAAGATTATTTAATGAGTAAATATTTATGAACATGAATCGCAGATTTTAAATCCGTAAATTAATAAATGATCTTTATACTCACAGACTAGAATATAAAATATTAGTAATGGATAGGTAGTATGAACTTGAATTCTGATTTAATACTTGATATAATACTTACTCTCTATAATTAAATAGTTTCGAGAAATATTTATTTATTATTTTAAAATTAGAAATATAATTCTAACAAATAACATACTTTTTAATCCAATTATCATATTTCTTCTTATCAAATTCCATATCTGTAACAAATGACCATTTTAAAAATTCTTTTAGAATTATCTGCCTTAGCTAATTTCAGATAATATAAGAATGCAGTTTGCTTGTTTATTTCAACCCCAATTCCTAAATAATAACAATAGCCAACTTGATACTTTCCATTAGAATTATTCATATCCGCAGATTTTTTATAATGAATAAATACCTGATTTTTATCTTTTTCTACTCCAATCCCATATTTGTAACAATAACCAAGCCATAATGTTCTGTCTAAACCACCTATCTCAGCATGTATTTGGCAATCAATAAAATTCAGTTGATCAAGAATGCTAGTCATTTTAGTAATTTTCATATTAAGTTTTGTGTATTAAAATATTAGAATAAAATCTAATATAGTTCTATAGCAAATCCTACAACAGCCGCGGAGTCTAGCCTAGAGATTGGAACCGCCTAAAATTTCTTTAATTGTTTAACCATTTAATCGTATTAACCATTTAACTCAGCTGGTATTAAGATAACCTTGGCCCATGATCAACATAATTTGGCCCGAAATTACGGAACAATTTTTATGTGGTTAAACAGTTCCAATCCCTAGTTTAGCCACCAAACATGAGGTCCATATACTGTCTACAGTAGCTGTGATCAACTCAAGTCCTTACAATATATATAGCAGCTGAAGCCTATGATTTATTACTACTCCGAATAAAATATGTTAACTTGCATTAGTATTAGAATTATCTTATAATTTAAATTCTTTCGCTTTCATCTTTGGTGATTAGCAATTATCAAATCATCAACCCAATAAAAAATCCAACAAAAAAAAATGCTGATTCTTAAATTTACAGCGGATAACTAAGAAATTTGAATCAGGCTACTAATATTTGTATTTAAAAATAATATTTTTACTATTGTTTGTTATTACATTTGTGATTTTAACACTTGCTTCTGGTATTAAAAGAATTTTTTTTAAGTCACTAAAGTGCAAAATTAAAAGCTAGCATGACGTAAATAATAGCCAATCAGAAATACGGATTGACATAAGATTTTGTAGACGGGACCCGCTTAACTCACCATATAAACTATATACTTAGTGATTTTCATCACTCTGTTCCTGGTACTATAGGACATGACAAAATCCATATGAAAAATAAAAATCAAGTCACGCGAACCAATCAGATCTCAAATTTTGTGAACAAATCCACTTAACTCATCATATAAACTATACACTCGTTTAGATTCGTCTCTGGTATAATTCATACAATTCTGTAATACACTGGTTCACCGGAGTTGAATACTTGCATTTTAAACGAAGATCGTTTTAAGGTTTTTGCTCTTGCAGACCTTATATTAAAACTGCAATCAGCGTATAGCTATAGCTTTATTTTTTCTTAGTTGACCGTCATAGTTATCATTACAAGAATATTGTGAATTAAAAGGTAAACCGGCGCAAACTGTGTAAAATTATATATAAAACTTTATGCAGGTTGACGATCATATAGTTAAAAAATTACATACATTACAAGGGGGACATTTCCAGTGTACGATAAATAAATTAATATACAGTAAAGTAACTTCCTACTGTACGTACCAAAGTTTTTATTATACTGTATAATTCCATAATAGACTTTAAAAATTTCGTAATGGCTACTGGCGAAAGTTCGAAAGAAGCCACAAAGGCACCAGTGGAAACGCCGTCAAAAATGGTGAGGTATTTATTTGAATTATTTGGTTACTTTTAAAAACTAACTCGCGTATGCATATTTCTTTTAAAACAGCTACGCCAATTATCAAGGGCTCTTGTTCAACCTCCATTAGAACAACAACTAACGCCATGGATGCAAAAAGTTTCCACACCACGAAAACGAAGAGCTTCAACTCCACATACACCAAGGACGCGTCAAACACCTATTATACATTTAACACCAAGTTCTAGGCGTCAGTCTTTGAGAATTCAAAATAAAGATAATAAATCAAAGACGAAAAAAATGCAAACTCCGCAAGATTTATTAAGAGTATTATCTCGAGGTATCTTATCAATCCATTTTTAAATAATATACTTTTCTCTGAGCTTATTACATATTTATATTTTAATAGCTCCAGGATTTGTGCCTGAAGAAAATTATGAAGAACAAAATATAGATACAGAAAAAGCAGAAAATTCAGAAATTGATGAATTTACAGGAGAAAATTTTTTAGAACATCATGATGAACAAATTATAGAATTTACAGAAGAAAATTTTTTAAAACATCGACATCAAGATGAACAAACTATAGAATTTACAGGAGAAAATTTTTTAGAACATCAAGATGAACAAACTATCGAATTTACAGGAGAAAATTTATTAGAACATCATAATGAACAAACTATCGAATTTACAGGAGAAAATGTTTTAGAACACAATGATGAACAAACTATCGAATTTACAGGAGAAAATGTTTTAGAACATCATGATGAATTTACGGGAGAAAATTTTTTAGAACATCATGATGAACAAACTATCGAATTTACAGGAGAAAATTATTTAGAACATCATGATGAAGATTATTTAGAACATCATGATGAAGATTATTTAGAACATTATGATGAAGGGTTCTCTGAAACAGAAAATTTTTTAGAAATTTCAGATAATGAAGACGAAAATTCAAATATTCTCAATGTTCAAAAT